TCCCGCCGAGGGTTCGGATCCCACATACAGACCGGCCGCTCACTGGCTGAGCGAGGGGCGGGCGCAACACCGAGGGTTGCGATGCCGTTGCCGGACACGAAAAAAAAAAAGACAAAAAAAAAAAAAAAAAGATAATATGAGTTTACCATGAACTTTCTGAAATACCTGTGTATATCACATATTTCTCTCCACTTTCACTCCTGCCACCCTTAATTGTCTTTTGCGTGGACTACTATAATAACCTCCTAAATTTCCAATTTCCTCTTTCCCCTCTACATTCTCAATAGCGTAGTGAGAGTGGTTTTCTCAAAGTATAAATTAGATCACATCACTTCCTTGTTTAAGATTCTCCAGTAACAGACTCTGTACTTCGCATGAATCCAAACTCCTATCCATGAGCTACAAAGCCCTGCATGAGCTGACTCCTGTCCTACCTACTATTTAAATTCATCTCAGAGGCCTTACTCAAGTCACACTGACTTTTGAGTTTCTTAATGCAGCCTTAGGGCTTGCATAGGAAAGAGTTAAATATAAGCAGGCCAGAGCTTACTGTCCTTAGAAGGGCTGCTTGCTGAGCTGGCTCTTGGCTAGTGTGTAAGAATATGACGTCTGAAGTATTCCCTATGTTGACAAGGCTGTTTTGTCCACCTCAGGCACACAATACCTGCTTTCTTCTGGGAGTCTGGTATTTTGGTAGTTATGGCTGGTCTTTATGCCTGTGTATCAGCCCCCAATAAAAATTCTGGATTCTGAGTGTTAAGCAGGCTTCCCTGGGCAGAAATACCCTCCATGCATTGCTAGATTTGGATGCTGGAGGAAGAAGCAAGTTCTATGTGACCCCTGGGGGGAATGTGTTGGGGGAGACATTGAAAGATCATGACTGGATCCTCCAGACTCCACCTTATGTGTCTTTTCCCCTTGCTCATCACTGTAATAAACTATGGCCGTAAGTACAACTACCTCTGAGTCCTGCGATTCCTTCTAGTGAATTGCTGAATGTGTGGGACCCTTGACACAGGCCTCAGCTTAGAGCCCACAGATCATGCCTCAGCTGTCATTTTTGTATAATTCCTGGCTTAGGAATGTTACCACTTCTGAGAAAACATACACTTTGTTTTATTGCCATCACCTCGTTTGTTGTTTTTACCACATTTATTACCATCTCAAATCATTAAGCTATTTTAAAATTTTTACTTATTTATATTCTCTGTCTCCTTCTAGAGCAGGGTTCAGCAAACTTTTTCTGTAGAAGGTCATATAAGAGCCAAAACTGAAAATATCATGCAGTTCTTGCATAACAAGAGAGAAAACAAATTTCAACAAAACTTCTATTGATGAAATTCATTGAGTAAACTTTTTTGTAATACAGACCTAATGAGAAAAAAAATTTTTTTTGAGGGGCATAACATTTTACTTAATTGAGGTTCAAAGTCGGAGTTCTCTATCATCAAAATTGGATGCAAATGTTCATCTGTTAATGCTGATCTATAATAAGATTTTACACATTTCAACCTTGAAAATGGCTTTTCACATAGATAGGTACTGCCAAATACTGATATCAATCCACAAGAATATGGTTTTCATTGAGCATATTAATCACTTGGAGAGGCATTTGGAAAATTATACTAGAGTCTTGTCTTGATATTGGCCTTTTGCATGTAGATTGTAGGATAATCACTTTAAACTGAAGGTTAGGTGGAAGCTCCTCAACTGTACAGTCAAATGGATTTTTGAAATGTGGAAATTTTCTTTGTGCTTGCATCGAAATCTGAAAGATACTGCTGGAACTGTAGTTTGAGCCCAGAAAATATATTTGCTGCAAATGTGTGTAGGAATAGGGATCTTCCTTCTTGTTTTAATTTTTGACAGCATGAGAAGTGTATAGCACAGTTTAATATTACTTGTGATTCAAACAATAGTTGTCATCAAATAGCTTTCCTGAAGTTTTACATAAGAGCACTGTTTTACCTTGTAATTTCAAGTTGAATTCAGAAATATCAAGTCTGCAGCAAAAAATAATTTCCAAGGCCATTCAGTGTTCAATACCAGTGGCCAGGGTGGTTCTTCTCATTCAGAAAAAAAATTCAGTCTTGGCTCTGAGTTCAAAAAATTGCAATAAAACTTTACCACTGCTAAATCACTGAACTCCTATTTGGTAGGGCAGGTGAGGATATTCAGCTTGTATCTATAACATAAATTCATGGCACTGATGATGGCTGAGGCTATGAGAGTGAATGAAGCTAAATGATAGCACTCAAGAACAAAATATGGAAGTTCAATAACAAATGACAGATAGAAATGTTTGCCACAAACTTGCTGCTGATGAATCAAACAACGAATAACCATAGGCTTTAAACACCTGAGATTTTTATAAGCTTCGTTAATTTATCCAACTATCCCTTTTTCTGCCCCACACATATTTTTACCACCATCAGTTGTAACGTCATCGCACATTCCACTTCAGGCTGTACTGAACTGATGTTTTCTTAACCTGTTTGAAAACATTATCTTTTATAGTTCCATGGAGATTATTCATGGGGGATAACTCTTCAGTCTCTTCAAATTTGGCACTATGAACAACAAATGGCAGTACTGGCAGCACCTGTTGACCCATTAAGAGCCAAGGGAAACCACTCAAAATCATTTTCCTTTTTCTTTGTCTTGTTTTTAACTGACTACTGCTGTTCTCAACATCAACTCTTGTAGCAACTGTTTTTGCCAAAAAGGTAATAGTCTTAAACAAGTTTATTTTCTCTAGACACCTTTCTTCACCTGCTGCAATCAAACATGATTTGATTAATTCACTTTTAATAAACAGCTCTTCTGGATTGGCTAACAAATGAGCCACTCAGAAACTAATTTTGGTTGTATACTCAATTTCATTTTTTTGTGTGAAGAAATTTTGTCGTGATAAAATATAATTTTAAATTTTCTAATTTTTCTGACTATTGCTTTCCTGTGAGTTGGGAATGTTGATGAAACCTAGTGTGAAAATGTTGATGTCTACTGTATTCCTTCAGCACAGCTATAGTGTCATTGCATAATAAACATGATGCTTTACTATCTCATTTGATAACAATATGACCCACATTTTTGCTGTGCCTTACAACTGTGACATTCAAAATTTACTTTTCTTTTTTCTCCCCTTGTTTTGACATGGTGGAGATGCACTGGTTAAAAAACAAAATAAAACACTGTAGTATAGCAATAAACACAAAGTTCAAAATCTGTGAAGTTATAATTACATCACTGGAACTTGTAGCGGGCCAAGCAGCAGTACAAAGCGATGAGTGTGTCACATACAGTCTCTGTTGCAACTACTCAACTCTGCCATTGCAGCACAGAAAGCTGCCATAAACAATATGTAAATGAATGAGCATGGCTGTGTCCAGTAAAAATTTACTTATGGGCTGGCTGTTTAGCTCAGTTGGTTGGAGCATGGTGTTGATAATACTAAGGTTCGGGGTTCAATCCCTGTACCAGCCAGCTCCCCCCCCCCACACACAAAAAAAAAACCCCCAACTTTATGGATATGAAAATGTGTATTTCATATAAATGTCATGAAATTTTGTTCTTCTACACACACACACAAAAAAACCCCAACTTTATGGATATGAAAATGTGTATTTCATATAAATGTCATGAAATTTTGTTCTTCTTTTGATTTTTTTCCAAGTATTTAACTTAGTAAAAACTATCCTTAGATCATGGGCTGTACAGAAACAACTGGTGAGCCAGATTTGACCCATGCATGTAGTCTACCAACCCCTGCTCTTCAGTCTAACCAAGACAGCTAGGATAGGACCTTGCTGTTGTAGTTGAATAGTCAAGTCACAAAATCATGCTTCGCCCTGGAAGAGGGGAGGGAAATAGATACAAATCGCTGGGGAATGTTTCATTATCAAAGTGCTAATTCTTACTATATTACATAAACTGAAAATACAGTTGAAAAGCCTAATTATAATATCTAAAAACAGTAGATACACAATGTTAATTCAATAGTTTTTTTCATAAAGCCATGGTCAAAATCAATAATAAAAAGTTATTTTTAAATCTTTAAATGATCTGTTGATCTAATATGTGCAATAATTGAGATGGTATATAAAAATAATAAATTTTAAGAGATTTTATTCTTAGGCAATACAATTTATTGATTTATGTTTGAGATTAAGTTTCAGTCCCACCTTCACTTTACCAGCTATATGATACTGGCAAGATAGCAACTACCATGAAGAATTCTTGTGATGATTAAATAATCTAATACATGTAAAGTGCTTAGAACAGTGGTTGAGTACACTAAAAAGGTCATGATATATTAGCTTTTTAAAGAATAACTATTATTATTGCAAATTGAGCTCAGTATCATGGCATTAAAATGATGTATTTTTCATTTTAAAAAATCCACAAGTTTTTTTTTAATAGACCAATAAGATACTTGAACCTAAGTATCTTATTACTGAACCTAAGTATCTTATTACTTTATAAGAATTTAGGTTTTATTGCCAAAAAACACAACTAAAACAGAAAATGTTTAATTTTCCTTACCTGACATGTCTGTTGAATCACCTATAATAGAAAAACAGCAGAAAATAATTATCCATAAGTAACAAATACTAACAGTAAAATTTGCAAGGATTCAATTATCATAAAATAATACTTTAAAAATAATTTAAATAATAAAATACCATATACAAAATTAGTTTTATACATTAAATTGAGTAAACTGTGGGTGAAGGCACTTATTTCAATTACATATTAACATTACCTTTCAATTTTTCCTTGGACAAAAATTTTGTTTTCTTTGTATATATATATAATGCGTTACTAAATTATTATTATTATTTTTTTTGTCCTTTTTGAGACCGGCTGCACCGTGCTCAGCCAGTGAGTACTGTGAGAGCACCGGTCATCCCCATATAGGATCTGAACCCGCGGCAGGAGCACTGCTGCACTCCCAGCACCGCACTCTCCCCAGTGTGCCACGGGCTCGGCCCGAGTTACTAAAATTTTAATTATGACAACTTTGAAAGTAATATTGATATGATTTAAATTGATGTGACCCTTATTTTGGTTTACAACATGCACTGCTAATAGGCTCTTTGGAGTTTTTTTTTTTAATAAATTTATTTCTTTTTCCCGGATTAAAAAATTTTTTTAATTGTATACTTGAAACATAATTGGTTATACTATTTATGGGGTACAGAGTTGACTATCGCTGTTTGTGTACAATTTGTGATGATCAAATCAGTATTATTAGCACATTCAACATTACAACCTTTGGAGTTTTAATGCATCTCTATTAGCAGGGAAGAATTAGATCTAAACCTTCTGAGAGGCAGAGGGGGGAGCTCCAGGCCCCGCCCCTGCCCCCCAAACTGGCACCACACAGGTAAGCCCACTGGTAGTGGCCAGCAGCAGCACCAGCCAGTGGAACTGTGTGGCTGGATGCAGCTCCTCTCCCCACCTCAGAACCAGGGGGGAGCACCAGCCTATGGATCTGACCCACCGAGTTTGGCCCAGCAGAACTCCATGGTGCTAGGGGCTCATTCTATGATCACAGAGTCTTGAACGGGAACCAAGGTGGTTTAACATAACCACCACCACACCTACTGTCAAGCAAAGATAATTCACCCCCCCCCCCCCCCCCCCCC